GACGACTCGAGATAGGACTTCGTCATATCGTTGGAGACCACCAGAGCTACGGCTTCAAAGGTCGTTCCATCACACACAACCTTCACCGGATGCGCATCATGTGCGAAGCTGCTGAACAAGGTTATGCACACCTAGCTGCGCTTCAGCTAGACCTAAGTAAAGCATTCGACAGAGTCGACCGGAAGTTTCTATTTTCCCTTATACGACACTGTGAACTGGGAGATTACATTGAGAAATGGATTTCGATAATTTACACGGACATCACAATGAAACTCGTCATCAATAGGAATGTAGGAACCTCTATTTTTGTGCGCAGATCAGTACGGCAGGGCTGCCCGCTTTCGCCCCTTCTGTTTTCGTTATATTTAGAACCACTCTGCCGCACTGTACTTCACAATACTTCGATCGCTGGATTCCAATTTTCCGAACACGTCCTGAAGTTTCTGGCATATGCCGATGACATTACCTTTGTATGCTCATCTAAGAAAGAAGTGCAGATTGCTCTTGAGCTTGTAGAGAGCTATAGCAAATACTCCGGTTCTTCTTTGAATCGAAAAAAGTCTTGCGGTGCCTGGCTCGGAGACTGGGGAACCAGACCTTCTAAGTTTATGGGTATTCAGTGGTCAGAATCAGTGACGACCTACTTGGGGACCAACTTAGACCTTCGTGGAGGTGCGGCGTCCTTATGGAAGAAACGCATCGGAGCACAAGGAGCGAAGCTATTTCCATGGAAATCCCGGCACATTTCTTTTTTTACAAGAAGCTACCTGTGCAACGCCATATCATATCCAGCCATCCTCTATTCTGCGCAAGTGATGCCCTTCTCCACTGCCACGGCAGACAAAGTTCAGCGTTCCTGGGCTGTTTTTATATGGAAATCGTCCATGGAACGAATGCGACGTCAAAACCTCTTTCTAAGTCTTGCAAAAGGAGGCTTAGGTCTCATCAATGTCGGCCTAAAGCTCGTCATTCATCGTTTCCTCTTCTTCCGAGATCAGCAAGACCCCTTCATACTGTCTGCATTTCACCACCTCGGTGCGTCGCAACTTATGGCATGGCAAGTCACCACTGCTACCCCTACACCCTTTTCTCGAGTGCTTTTCTTTTACAAAGAAATCGCCCAGTCAATCCGCCTGCTGCAAAACACTTTTTCGTGGGACTTTCTTCTGAAAAGCAACCGTAAGCAACTCCTCCGCTTTACAGACCCTTGAAAAACCAGCCAACCGACAATGACGTATTTAATCGTCTAAAACGTTTGCCCGTCGCCACATCATCGAAAGACTTCTTTTTCAAGTTCCACACGGAAGTGCTTCCCGTCAAAGTGTGGCAGCAGGCCAAGGGTTTCTTCGTGCCATGGTCACACAATTGTGATTTATGTGGTAAAGAAGAAACACTCGAGCATGTGTTTATTTTTTGTTCCAATGCAGAAATATTTTGGGCCGAACTACAGTCTTTCTTTGATCTGGACTTGCAAATTAGTTGGTGTACCTTGAAATTCCTACGGCGGCACGACCAAAGGACGCTGACTGACCTGACTGAGATAATCATGGTTTTAGGCCTACATTCGCTATGGCGGTCAAGAATAGACATGACAGAGTGCACACTCAACCCTAAACCTGCGTGGCGACACTTTGCTAGCAAATTGGAGTGGACTATTAGAATTTTAGAACCAGTAGAAATAGAAAAAGATCTGAGAGACACTCTGGTGAAAGGTCAGAAGGTAGCACTAAATTTTCATGCCTCAGGAAGACTATCCGTCGCCTTCGCATATGCCTCACTCTAATACACTTTTAACATCTTTGAGTGTAATCTACATTCAGAGGCGAGTTTACTATACTCTTTAACAATGTTGTAGCCTTTAACTGATTTACTTTGCACCTGGGTCATTTAATGCAATGTCTAACATATGTAACGTTCTTTTTCTGCTCTAACATATGTATATACCTCATTTCCTTCATTCTTGCTACTTATGTTTTAACATGTAAATAAACAACTGCTTTGAAAAAAAAAAAAAAGGGGCGTAGCATAGCGGTTAGGGTGTCCGATTCGTACGCATGTGGTCGCGGGTTCGATGCGCGGTGGTGCTGCTTTTTTTTTTTTTTTCTCGAACTTTTTGTTTTATCGAGGCATTTGGCGATATTTATGAGTGCGTATAGCTTTACTCTTATATAAATGCTGCCCTTGTTGATGAAATTCCCCTGGCAGTGGCAGTGAGACGTCATCTGATGGACCATCAGATGACGTCTGATGGTCCATCACGTTCCACCAAGGCTGCTGACTGGCAGTCAGTGTCCCAAATTACGTAGCTTGATGGAATTTTCAATAGGGGACGCAGACCATCTATCAAAACATCTTGTTCCCCTTAAGGTCGACTACCATAAAAAAGTAAACCAAGCAAAGCTATAAAAGGCACTGAACATTTGTCATTTACCGCTGACATGTTCCAAGTCCTTCCTTCAATGATTCTTACCATTGTACAAAAAAACCATGACAGCCCAAAATCAGGGGGACATGATCGCTTCTGGCAAACCTACAAAAAGCTCATCAAGAGGTTCAATTGGCCAAAAATGAAGCAGGATTCAAATCAATACAGTCAGTCTTGTCACAAATGTCAATTTCACAGGGCTACGTTCAAGCAAGCCAAAGACGGAGTGACACTTGAAGAGCCTTTTGAAATGGCTTAGTTGGATTTCGCAGAGTTGAAAAAAAAGTGTGAGGAAGTCAGAAAGACGTAAGCCTTTCTTCTCTGCATCGATTAAGGCACTAGAATGGTGGCCGCCAGAATAGGGAGAGTAGACGCGAACAACGTAATATCTCTTCCACACCGCGAAATGTTGAAGTTAAGGATACAAATTCTGAGAATGAACCAGCCTTCCGAATCAAGAAGCTCGAGCAGTGGGCACGACAACAAGGTATCTCGCTCAAGTCCTTGCCCCGTATCATCCAGCAGCCAACGGTTTGGCCCAGCGAGCGATTCGAGAGATCAAGCAATACGTCAGTATATCCCTATGTTTTTATCGAGGCTGGAAGTGCTGCCTTGAAACGGCTGCGTTTCACCATAATAGATAATAAACAAAGTCATGGGATGTAGCCCGACTTTTGTGGCCGCAGGATAGGTTTCCTTTCCACCGGTCGATCTCAAGCTGAGTTTAACAGAGCAATTACTACTCAAGGAAGCACCAAAAACAGACGCTGAAAAACAAAGGTACCGAAATACCATAAAGCAAAATTTTAATAGAAGACCCCATAACAGCTCAATACAAAACCTTACGAGCTTGTTCTTGTGCGAAAAGGAACCCTGAGTCTTGTGCGAATTTCTGTGGGCCGTAGGGTATAGTGGAGAAGATTTTGTATCTGGGCCCCAACGAGACGATGGAGACAGCTTCAATTGGAAACGTTTTTCAGTCCAAGAAGGGGTAACTTCTCAAGTTCAGAGAAGTGAAGTGACTTGAGATGTAAAAAAAAAAGACGACAAATAAAACAGAAGAAAAGACTACAAAAAGCGGACGGCGGTAGAATAAATGAGCGAATGATAAGATATGTGGTAATAATTTGGTAGATACCTACGTTCACTGGGTCAAAGCGTCCTACTGTACGAAATGTCCAAAGAGACAAAATATAAATTGAGTCAACCCTTCGATCGAGAGAAAATGTTCAGACAAAATGTTCGTCAAGTCAGAACGCCCAACATGCCACACAATACATTACGCGTGTCATAATGCCCATCAACACAAAATGCCCAAGAATGACAAAACGTCTATCAAGACAAATTGCACAAAAAGACAAAATGTCCGTCAAGTCAAAATGTTCCACCAGGTCAAGACATCCCACGATACAAAAGGTCCATCGAGTCAAAATGTCCGTCCAGCTCAAAACCGAGAGAATAGTATATGAATCGAGACAATGCGTCCGCTATTAGATATTTTCACCGGCGAAACATTTCATCTCGTTGGACACATTGAAATGCAATCAGCCCCTATATGGTAAAACTGAAAGTCGAGGGTTGTGTGCCAGACTTGCCTATACCTTAAAAAAGGGTTCCAAGCTAAACCAATGCGCACTATGCTATATACAGAGTTCCGTATTTTCGGAGTTTAATTTTCTTCAAGTTACGGAGGGGGGCGAGTTTTGAGAGGGGGGGGGGGGATTTTCCCCTTGGAAATTCGGTGTCTCTCGGTGTCTATTTCAGTGTCGGACAAAAAATCCGCGTCTATCGCGGCCTATGTTGAAGGTAAGAGGACACGGTCGTGGGATATTCTAACCTTCATGAAATATGTGCGTGACACAAATACTTAGTGGAAGACGACACGGTAAAAGCAGACCAGGGTTGTGGTTTCCGAGTAGCAGTCTAGCGGACAGATCAGTGTGGGCTGCGCTATCTGTCAACATAAATTGATAAATATTTATTTCATGAAAGATTTTTTTATATATTTAAGGACAGCTCTAAGTCTGGTTTTTTTTCGGTTCTGCCAGAATTTTATAAGACCGGCTCGAACTTTCCAAGATTTACTGGAAAGTTGATGATTACGTCGGACAATTACGTTCGATGGAATCGTCGAAAATGTTGATCTACTGCGGCGGTCCACCCAGCCATCTTGTCCGCTACATATTAGTCCGCCACATTTTCGAAATTTCGTTCCGATAGGCAGACCTTTGGCTCTCTATCTCTATCCTTGTGTACAACTTCTCTTTTATTCCACCAAGCAATAAGCGACTAGTAAAATTCCAATAAAAATCATTTATTCCAGCCCAAAACTAATTTCATAATCCATTTAAAGGACCAAGTACAGCATTTGCTTTCAGCAGGTGAGAATAGTCCTCTTAGTGTCCCCTACCCCTAATCTCCGACGGGAGTCACGTTGGGGCATGCGGAACAGTGGAGAGGATATAGTAAAGAAGGAGGCGGGCAGAGGTGGAAAGCGCAAAACGCGTTTCGGTGTGCCAACCAGAATTTCGCAGTTGAATTAAAGCCATACTGGCACATTTCAAACGGGACTCACTCCAGCAGCGGCACCTTGACGAACAGGCAGGCGAAGTAGGCCAGGGTGCAGAGGATGACCCGGAAGGCGTCCATCCACAAGACACGCAGCAGGGCCACCGTGAAGTCGAGCCGGCGCCGGACGTTCTTGCTGCACGAAATTCAGGTTGGTTTTGGTCTCAAACGGGTTCGTTAAAAGGCAGGAAATCTATGGTCACTGGCAGAATGAGAAAGGCGGGGAATGTCTCTCGGATGTCCGGCCTCTGTCACGCGCTCGTTGCCTGTCCAGGTGATTTGATTGCGCGTGCACGCTCGTGACACTGAAATGTTTTCAATGGTAGAACGCTCGCGCTACAGGCGGGACTATTTTTTTTATTTTATTTACAGAGTACCTACATCGCCTCGAGGGCATTATTGTAGGAGGGGCAGGAAATAACACCCATACATAAAAACACAAAGTGATCACTTGTCCACGCAGATTATATATACAGCCGAGAAAAAAATACACTGTTGTCCAAGGTGCTCACCACATCATCAGGCAGCAAGTTCCACTCTCTAATTGTCTTTACAAAAAAAGAATTGCAGAAGCTGTTTGTTTTATAGGAATATTCAAGAACTTTTCTAGAGTTATCACACCTAGCTGAAACATACGTTGGCCCCAAAAGATACTCATTCTTATTAATACCAGTATTATTATAATAAATGCGATGGAAAAACTTCAATCTTAATTTTTGCCTTCGAATGCTCAAGGGCTCCCATCCCAGCATGGTTTTAACCTCTGTCCTACTAGCGTATGGATCGTAGTTGTTACTAACAAATCGCGCTGCTTGATTTTGAAGTTTCTCTAATCTATCGATCAGATACTGCTGGTAGGGGTCCCATATAACGCATGCATAATCAAGCATTGATTTTACGTGCAAGAAGTAAAGAGTTTCTTTTACGTCTCGGGACGCGTGTTTGAAATTTCTACGGATAAAAGACAACATTTTACTGGCCTTATTAATTGTGTAGTCAATATGTTTATTCCATTTAAGTGATTGGTGAAAATAAACGCCAAGATATTTACATTCAGAGACATTACCGATTGTCAGGTTTTTGATAGTATAACTTGTAAGAAATTTAGAGACGTTTCTAGCAAAATTAACAAGGTTACATTTTCCAATATTTAGGCTCATGTTCCATTGGATACACCAGTAAGCTACCTTATCTAGATCGCTCTGTAGGATCTCGATGTCTCTCGTCGAATTTATTTCCCTGTAAATAACGGAATCATCAGCAAAAAGTTTTATTGTCGACTGAATATTTTGTACAATGTCGTTAACGTAAATTAAAAACAGTAACGGTCCAAGAACACTACCCTGGGGGACCCCTGAAGTCACGGAAACGACTAAGGATTTACTTCCAGTAAGACAACACATTGCTCACGGTCACTTAAGTAATTTCGTATGCAATTTAGTACCTTACTATTAATATTTAAAGAGGCTAGTTTTACCAGTAGAAGGTTGTGTGGTACCGTGTCGATAGCTTTGCTGAAATCTAGAAAGACTGTGTCTACTTGCGTATTTTTGTCATTTGCTTTTAATAGTTAATGCTGAAACTCTGCTAACTGCGTGTTGCATGAAAATCCACTCCGAAAGCCATGCTGGGATGGAGTAAAAAAGTTAAAGCTATCAAGATATTTGAACATTGCACTATATAAAATATGCTCAAAAAGCTTAGAGCAAACTGACGTTCGTGATATAGGCCTATAATTTTCTACAAGTTTCTTATCTACGGATTTAAAAACAGGAATCACATTCGCCGTTTTCCAATCTATTGGGACCAACCCTGTCTCAAGTATCGTTTTAAATATAATTGACAAGTACTGTCATACAATCTCGGAACACTTAATGAGAATAACAGGTGATATACCACCTGGGCCAGCAGCCTTTGACTGATCTAGGCCGCGCAAAACCCTATTGAAAATTCTCATTTGTATGAGAAAGTTCTGTGTCCAATAAACACATATGAATCATACAAGATATATAAGAACATATAAGAACCTTGTAAGAACCATATAAGAGCTATATAAGAACTATATAAGATATATGAGAACATACAAGCACCATATACGAAAGTGTTGGGAAGTTTCTTATAAGTTTCTTCTGGGGTTCTTATATGTCTTATATAATTCTGATATAGTTCTCATGTAATTCTTATATGGTTCTTATATGTTCTTATATCTCTTGTATGATTCATATGTGTTTATTGAACACAAGAAATTTCTCATACAAATGATTTTTTTTACTAGGGAAGGGAGGCAATACCATGAACATCAATATCAATATCCGCCATCATGCCAGTAAAACAACTATTCGGTGACTCCACCACATACCCAGAGAGTCCCGGAGAAAATACCGATTTAAAGTAGAAATTGAAGCATTCTGCCTTCTCCACATTTTCTTTTAACATTTGGCCGTCAACATTAAGAACTGGGATAGAAATATCGTCTTTCCTGCATGTCTTCACATATTTCCAGAATACCTTTGGGTTACGTTTGAGATCGCAGTTTAGCCTGGTAAAAAATGTCTGCTTAGCTAACTTCATTGTTACTTTTAATTGATTATTAATATATTTTAATCCTTGCAAATTAAGGACAGAGTTATCTTTACAACGTTTTTTGTAGCCCGCCTTGCTTTCCCCAGTAGTTTCCGTATTTCGGCATTAAACCAAGGTTTTTGTTTACGCCTTTGCCGCAAAGTTCTTGAAGGTACAAAAGCCCCAACTAACTCCAATATTTTATTGCGAAACAAACTCCAAATCTCCTCTGTTGTACAAGACTCAGATAAACATGAAAAAGTTAAAAATATGTCTGTAATGCATTATTGATGGCGTCAAAATTAGATGAGTACTCTGCGTGGCTCTTGTTTCTGTTCAGATACGCCTGATACATTCAACTCAGTAACAACATCGTGATCACTTATTCCAGGGTACACCTGGGCGCCAGAAACGATATCTGTGTCATTGCATAAGACGAGATCTAAAACTACCGTCAGTCGAGTCGGCTCCATGACATATTGAATCAGACCAAATGTATCTATCAATTCTGTGAACATAGAATAAACACGCGATTTGTTTCCTGCCGTCGTCCCAGTTAACCACGAAAAGTCTGGCAAATTAAAATCGCCTCCCAGAAAGACGGTGTCTGGTATCACTGATAACATATCTGAGATTAAAGAAATGCTTGTTTCATTTCCGTCTGGCGGACGGTAGATAGTTCCAAACACCACAGTGTTCCCTTTGGGAAAACGAACGCGACACCACACCGACTCAGAGTCATTCTCAAATGTAACTGCACAGCTACTCCACCAAGACGAAACCAGCAAAAAGACTCCTCCTCCGTGTCGATGTCTGTCTTTACGATATACCGTAAATCCCGGCGGAAAAGCCTCAGTGTCAGAGACCGTATCGGCCAACCAAGATTCGGTCCCCATAACAATCTGTGGATTCAAAGTCATTATTAAAGATGCAAGCTCATCAACTTTATTCATGATGCTACGGCAGTTCACAACCGGAACCGTAGGTTTCTCTGGCATATCAACAATGTCATCTTTGCTTGGTCTGTTGATAGGAGGTAGGTGTCATCATTCTGCTACGATCTCGGAATTAGTCGGACGACGCAGGACTGGTTGACACGTGTCGCTGTCCCAGATAAACGTCTGCCCATTTATTACTAACTTATCATAGTTCAAATAGACCCGGTTTTCTTTATTTTGCTTTTTCTCTTTTGCGTAGTTCCAGAGTTGCCGCCGTTTTTCTTGAACTAGGGGACTGAAGTCTTCCGAGACGCTAATTGGGGTATTTTTAAACCTAAATGCATTTCGCCTCACATTTTCTCTGGCTTTCCAGCCAGCAAATGCGCAACGATAGGCCGATTTTTTTCATCTTTAAATGCTCCCACGCGGTGGGCTCTTTCGATCTCAACATTGTCGATAGATAACGTTTCTTTACAGATGTCCCTTATTAGTTTCTCAGATTCTTCTCATGTCTCTTTTCTGGAGTTGTCGGGAACACCAAAAAATACCAAGTTTGATCGTCGACTTCTATTTTCAAGGTCGTCTAATTTGGCTTCAACTTTAAACTCACTTTCTTCAACATGTGCCACGCGTCTTTCTAGTACCTTTGTCTTTGAAATTACGCCATCAATCTTAATCTCAAGATCAGCTTGCCTTTTTTCTATGCCTGTTAGCTTTGCCAAAACAGTTGCTTGTCCAGACTGCAATTCTAAGAGTATGCTTTCAATTTTTCCCAACTGTTCAGTTTCAGCCTTAGACATGGGACCGGGGTTTGATTCTAAGTCCCCTGCCAAGAGGAGCAATGCTTCCGTGAACAAAAGACAGGAGTCGAAGAACAGGAATGTTAACTCATCAATCACCCCGACACCAAAAAGATAACCTCCCCGCCATTTTTGTTTTGTCTGTGCATCATTTCCATACTTACAACCCCTCAGCCCAACGTGCGATCTCCTCCGACCAGCACGCGCATGCTTGTCGCCTCAGAAAGTGGCCAAGTGAGTGGGCTGAGGAGTTGTAAATATTGGAATGGTCTTAGAGCGTTAATAAATATAGAATTTTTTTTTTTCACGTTTTTTTCTGAATTCGGGAGACTTGAGCCCGGGGCTTTACATAGTTTGGATAAATTGGGATTCCAGATGCAATGGAGATTTTTCTGCTACCGGGTTCAGCGTTAAGAAGGTTCACAGTTGTCGTTTCTTCTGTGTGATTAACTTTGGTCTCGGTAACAGAGGTCTCGTGCCGAGAAGATTTTGCAACAGGTTGCTGAGGATCACTGTCGACCTTGCTGGATGTTCAAAATAGCGTGTAGCGCGGACGTCCCATAGGAGTGCAATGTTGTCTTGCATCTAACATCCCAGTTGCGAGGACGCCGCCATGGACGTCGCGGTCACGGCGGCCGCGCTTCTGGCACTCAAAGAAATGCCTGCGCGTCTACTTAGCGGCAAAACACTCAAAGAGACAATCTCTGTGATCTACAAAATGATCTCAGCGAATGATGAGCCGGAACATCCGTTTAGACCTAAAAATGAGGTCTGCTCTGTGGCTTTACGCAATGCAAGCATGACGCTTTGCATTGCGTAATGCCACAGCGCAGACTTAGTTTTGAGGTCTCAACGGATGTTCCGTCTCATCAATCGCTGAGCTCATTTTGTAGATCGCAAAAATTGGCTCTTCGAATGTTTTGCCGGTAAGTAGACGCGCAGGCATTTCTTAGAGTGTGGAGCCGGCTTTACAGAGGGAAGCTGAAGGAAAGGAGGATGCCAGAGCGTGCCGTGACGTCAGAGCTATCAGCACTGACGTCACGGCGCGCTCCATAGTATCAATTGTGACGTCAGCTCTGACGTCACGGCGCGCTCATAGAAAGACAATGAGTAGAGAGCGATATAGGAAATCTCCTTTTCACCTTCATTTTCGCTCTGTATTCCACACATGGCACCGGATTAGAACGCGGCTTGTCTTGGCTTCGGCCCTCTCACAACTTTTAGCGCCTCGTGAGAACAACGGCAAGCGTTTCGGGTCAAGTTTGAAAGTGCCCACGATATTTCCGAATAAACACGCGAATGCGCTCTCAAAACGAAAAAACAAAAAAAAAAAAGCAGTTTGGGTTCGGCGCTTGCGCAGTGCTGATGACGCTATTTTTTATATATAGATATATAGACTTAAAGGACCTTGGCAACGATATTCAATTGGAATGTTTTTCTCTCTACACGAGCTTACTGGCACACCTGGGACTCAAGGATACCCACACGCAACGCCACTGGCGAAGAAACTCCTTTGTTGCGGTGTAATTACAAGGACAAAAGCGATCATTTTCATTCAATCTGTCCTTTGCAAAATTTGATGACGTAACGTGGGGATCGCAGTATACACCCAAGTGACGATATTTGAATGCGGTTCATAGATTGGACCCAAGCATTGCGTGGGCACTCGACTTGGGCTCGTGATAATTGCTAGCTCGAGAAGCATTCGGGTAGTGACCCGTGTCCAATCGCTGCAACGACGACAATAGCCGAGCCATAACAATGTGTGGAACTCAGCGCGTGTCCTGCGCTTTGCCAACCCCAGCGCGTGGCTATGATCAACACTGGCGGCATATAATCAGCTCCAGATCCCGTGGCCGCTTGTTCTGGCTGTGAGTTGAGGGGGTGAACGCTGCTCGATTTTCTTAAATGTTTTTCTGAGACTTCTATTGCGTGGGGTGAAGAACGAACGCGTGTTTCATAGGTCATTAACGTTAGGGATCCGTTTTAAGCGGTATTTGCGCAAAGTACAAAAATTGTTGCATCGCTCCTTTAAGGCAGCGAAGAGGAGGCAACTCGGTCGGCTGCTCGTAAGCGCGGCTGAGGGCGAAAAAGGTAACTTTGGGAAGGCCGTCGAATTATACCGAACGATATTGGGCACGAGCTCCGCGTCAGAGTGCATTAGGGCACTCGGAGACTCGAGCTCGTGATCGGATTCAATGATCGCGGACGGCAGGACGTTTCACGGTTGCGGAAATTCTGCATAAGATGGCATGTATCACGGGTCGAAGCAAACATGACTGCCCAGTGGGTACACGCAAAGCGCTTGGGTGCTTCTTATCCCAAAACTCCCCAGGACCGTGGTCACACCGCTAATACCTCCTAGAAAACACAGTATACAAGACACTATTTAAGGCGTGTATTTTTGTACGATGGTCCCGTAACATTGGTGGTACAAAAACTGTCTGAAGCCATGCTCGAATCATGCATAAAGCAAACATGCTTAGAACGTGCTCCATGCACTTCAGCAGATATGTTCGTCATCCTGTCAGCAACAAACACCGCGTTTTCTTTCTATTTGTTCTTTTGTACCGTGTAGGACCAACGTGACTCCGGTTTAGTACGACTGGAAAACTTCTTGCTTGCATGCGTATGAATATGAAAGAGTTTTATGTGTTTTTTTACCTCAATAACGAGTGCAGTCTGTCTACGATGTCTCGGCAGCGCAGGGTACCACGATGTCGAGGCAGGTATTCGTCCGACGGTTTGCCTCCCTTTATGGTGACCTTAAAAAGCCTGAAAATGTGTCCACAGAGAGCGATTTGGTAGATGAGAAGTATGGGAAATTCTTAACACTATACCGCATGCAGGAAAGCATCGCCAAGGGCGCATGCGAGGAATATATAGAGCGCCGAGAATGTGATGCTCGAGATTTAAAATAATAGGAACAGATAGCCCCAGGCTAGTACTGAAAAGGGGACGTCTCTAACGGCTGCTCATCAGCGCGACTGGTAGTCAAAAAGGTTAACTTTGGGCAGGTCTTCCCATCAAACGATTGCACACGAGCGCAGCCATAGAGTTTGGTAGGGCACACGTTCGCCCGGGCGGACGTTCGAACTCGAGATCGAGTCCAATAACTGCGGCTCCGGGCGACCTTAAAGTTTCATAAAATTGAATTCTCCGTAAAATGGGGCTAAATATAGAAACCATGCTTAATTCACCAGTCGGCAAACGAAAATTGTCAATCAACGCTACTTTCGTCTTCTTTTTTTTTCATATCCTTAATTTTTGTGTTTTCCCATCCGTTTTGTCATTGCTTGCCCGTATATCACTTCTTTGACGACAAACTGAAAAAAAAAAACAAAAAAAACAAGAGGACAGGAAGACAACATTAGTAATGAGGCACCCACAAATAAAGTAGCCAACATCTCCAAAAATATAAGCATTTATTAAAGTAGGGAGAGACACACGACGCTGTGTATATGTCTTGGCCCTCACATTTGGTCCTCCTTTTGTGTTTCTCGCTGTTTGTCGTCAAAGTTCACGCCACAAACAACTTCGCCAAATTCGTGCCTTGCTGTTGACTTTCTTTTTTAATTCCTTTAGTTCCTCGGAGAAGTTGAAATGGTCTCCAAAGACAGCCTCTTGTGTATAGTCCTACGTGAGTTCTCGGACTCGTCCTTCACTTCAGCACTAATCACTCATCACAACCTGTCTACACTTTCCTGATCATTCATACCTGGTGACGAATTCCCACAACTGGGACGTGAAGTTAGCTTGCAAGGTCGCGTTAATGAACAGCAATTAAAAAGTGGCGCAAAGAATTATGGTATGGCCACCGTTTAAAAAAAAATATTTATTTATGGCAATAGGTACTTTTCAAAAGTTTATCAAGCAACATTGGTGGTCGCCATTTCTTTGGCACGAAGCCTGCGATTACGTGCCCAAACAATGACGGACTATGAGAATTGGCGCAGCAGTTCGATGGCACTCTATTTTCAAAAGCGTCCGTTGTGAACGGACATACATAAGGCAGGCTCCGAACCTGCCTAAACTGTTCTGTCCCTTGGAGCGGGAAATTTGGCTATAACAGCAGGTCCCACTGTGTATATTGGAATTTCGAAGTACTTACGGTATGAGAAGCACACAGCAGAGTCTAGCGAAGGTCGACATGTTGTCTTCATCGCGGTCCAGAAACTTGGCCTGCAACAAGAAACACACTACAGTACGCAAAAAAGAAATGTGCATGGTGATTGTAATCTATGCAGGCGTCGAGAAATGCCTCCATTCTCTGTGCGAAAAAAATTCAGTTTTCCCCCAGTCAGAGTTTATATACATACATAAATTTAGTGGAGCAGCTGCGTACATCATTAAAGAGACAGTGACAGGGTATTTGCAGTCGCCGAGGTATTTATCTGAACGTGACCTATATGAGTCCAGCTACCCAAAACACAGTTTGCGGCTCGAAATACGTTTTGCTTTCGCCCGAAAACAGCTGGTAGAGGATTGAGCTTTTTCAGTCGCGCTCACTCTTTTATCCATGGTCACGTCGCACTTAAACTGTGTGTGCCACATATATTAAAAGCCGTGTGTCATCAAGCCCCACATTCAATATTAAAAATAGAAAAGAATATTAACTTTATTTTTGTGACCTCCAAAAAGCTGCAAATACGCTGGTCGGAAAAAGGATGTCGCACAGATCAGAGGAAGTACATGCACATGTCACTCCCAATATGGCGGCGCACCGAGGGCTGGACGACGCGATGGCCGCGCACGACGGATCAACGTTGCGATGGACGTGGGGACGCTACTTCGGAACTGTCGTTCGTTGCACCGGCCAATTGATCTTCAAACGGAGAACATTGACCGGAAGGGATATAAATGCGAAATAGTCGCACGACAAACGGTATACGCAAAGGAGGGACTTTAAGCGAACCGTTACCGTATTCCGCGTACCGGACTACCGGAGCCTTTGAAGCATGCTTTTAAGCGCGCGCCCCGCGGTTACGGCGTCACCCGGGCGCGCGCTTAAAAGCATGCTTCAAATGTTCCGGTAGTGCGGTACGCGCAACACAGTTTCGGTTTGCTAAAAGTCCCCTTTGTCATCGTCATCGTCTGCTTCGCACGCCAGAAAAGCGGGGGAAAAAACGCGGTCGGGTGTTGCAACACGACTTCCGGCCATGAGCTTCCGTGCTCGTGTGTCGGTTTCGGTTTCGAGCAGTTGAATTTGATGGATTTATTACAAATATACGTGACTCTGTAGCAAAATATTGATTGGGTATCCTCCTGACACCAGATTAAATCGCCTGGCCAAAAAATAACAAAAAACTTTGGGGTGGTGTTAGTGTCCCCGCAAACACGATCTTTAATCTAAGTTCAGTTAAGCAGTAAACCGGAAGTGTTTTTTTTTTCATCATATGACTAGCAACTTGGACGCATCGTACCAATTTACGCATTTTTTTCAGGTACCTACTTCGTCATCTGACATGACAGAAGAAAAAATAAAACAAAATAAAATAACATTAAAACTTTTTTTTTTTACGTTTAATGTTGCGCTTGCTATTGCACGATCGAGGATCACGAGACCCCGAGGCGTTATCAAAGGTAGAAAGCTCGCGCTGAAGGCGGGACAACTGAAACCCCTCCCTGCCGTTCTCATAGAACTCATTGAAAGTACTGACATGAGCGTTAACTCTTTTGGAGCCCGCCAATACCGCTTTGGAACTCAAAAGCCAAAAAACGCCGATGTTAGTTTCGCGCAATGGCGTCCCGCTGTGTACCCTACGTCTAAGGTACACTGCAAGCACCACTGTGTTCCGCACTCTACTCTACGCAGTGTATATCCTACCTTAAAGAAGCGCTGCAACGATTTTCGGTCTTCGTTCAATTAACTGCGGGAAGAAAGTTTTGTCACGTACGAAACGAAGAACAGAATACCGTACTTTCTCTCGCGCGCTAGTTTTATATTAAAATTTAAACAAAAAAAAACTCGAAGGTCAAAGTGACTTTCGATTCCCACGTCGTCTTTCGAGTGACGCACCTTGGGGAACCACTCCGGCTCTCGTTGGGTTCTCTCTTCGGAAACCCCAGCCGCCTGCTCCGCGATTGTCAACTTTTCAAGAATTATCAGCGTCGAATGTCGCGGCGAGCGATCGACAGAAAAGACGGTTCTCCACAGGGCTGACGGCGATTTTTGCCGCGAGGGGGGGAGGAGGACAGGTTTTGCTGACTTCTGCATGAGCCCCAGAAGACGTGTCACCGTAACTGCCGTAACCGCCACACCCGGCTACAGATCGGCAAATAAATATTTGTTTCCTTCGCGATTACGCAACGGAATAGCATTTTCCCGCGGCCAAGTGAAGCGTCTTTTTTTATTGTGTTTAGATAAACAATATAAAACACGCAAAGTGATCATTCCTTCCACATTACAATCGTTGCAGTAGCCCTTTAAGCCGCAGTCCCATTGCTCGTGCATCATACAGCAGACACGGTGTTCCCTGCACTCATCATTACAGAATGCAGAGCACAAGTTCGTCTGCTACTTTTGCATGGGTTGTGGTGACGTCAGAACTCCGAGCTCTGAGTGGCTCTGATTGAAGGATAGTGGGTATAAGGCAGCTTGCTTTGAGGTGTACCCACTATCCTTCGATCAGAGCCAATCAAAGCTCGGCGTCTTGCTGACGTCACCACAACCTCTGCAAAAGAAGCAGACGAACTTGCGTTCAGCCTTTTCAGCGGACACGCCTAAAGCCTGTTCCAAGCGTGTTTGCTTTTACATAAGTATGCTTGAAACACGTCTGCAGTGCTTGAAACACGTCTGCAGAAGGTTGTTTTTTTACTATGACCAGTGTGGCAGGATACACGTAAGAAACAAGCCCCAGACGGTGTCGGCCGACTGCCTTTTGTGTGATGTGTACCTACCATAGCATAGCGTGACCGCGGCTAACTGTGTGTGTGTAGGGGGGGGGGGGTACGTCACCTTGCGCGACTTGGACGACCTCCTGAGGACGGTGTCTTGGAGCCCGGCACCCAGGAAACATCCGCACATCAGGACAGCCACGGCCGTGATTACGACGACCTGCGAGTCCTCGAGCGGCGTGGACCATACAATGGCATCCTGAAAGTATACGTGAGAAGAATGACCGGGTTAGCTCGATACCACCCGGAAGAGAAGGCCTGTGCGCATGGGCGTCCGCAGAACTTTTTCCATGGGGGTACATACTTATCCCCCCCCCCCCTACTCCCATCCCAGACTGTTGACGATGTTGGATATTTTCAGCAGGTTTCCACGTCACTCTCTACCTGCTTTCACGGCCGCACCCTAGATTTGGGGCTACAAACCTAGGGAGGATAGAAGGGTAGGAGAATGCATGACGCCAGCCGCGTAGCCTCCACAAGCCATGCTCCCTTGACGCCTCGCCTCTTTCTCATTTTCCTCCTTACTCTCCTCACTTATCAGGCCAACGTGACCACATCACGTGACCGTAGCTAGCCTTCGTCTAGCCTTCGGTCTGGTAAAACATACCGGACGGAGCGCGCGCAAGCCTGCAAGGAATCCTTCTACAATCAACCATCCATCTCACACGTGACATGTCACGCGCACCAATTGCCAGAGAGATTTACGGTCACGTTGGCCACAACATCTTTTAAACTTTTTATGACTAGGCTTCACTAATATTGCAACGTGCCCCCTCCTAGTACTTCGAACCTCCTTGTACAAACCACTAATTTCAATGACCATTGCTGGATCGCGCATCCCGCTCCCGCGAGTGAAGCCCCCGGACGGCAATCTTGCATGTCAAAAAATTGCATTTTTGGAGCGTTTCGGAGGCTGGCGGCAGCATGCTGAAGACATTCTCTACTAGTTTGTCATAATTCGCCGAACAAGTTTTTTTAAACCAAGTGTATGCCGTGAGACTTGCCGTTGAGAACACGTGGACATTTTTACGGAAGCGCAGTGACGCAGGAAAAAGGCACAACGTGTAGCAAGCAAGTTTCGCCGGTCTCGCGCGCGGCGTAATGAAAACTTCCTTGGCAATTCTTTTTATTTTTTGTTTGCCGTTTAAATTTTTTTTTAATAACCATTTCAGCATTTTCAGATACTAAATAGCATGTTGGGAACAGTAAATTCATAGGATTCAGAAAATGTAGTTGGCCAGGGTACCTGAAAAAACGCCAGTATACCCATTAACTGGTGTGGATACAGCTCCCCCCTCCCCTTCTTGCACCCCCCTCAAAAATCCAGGGGGGGGCAACTGCCCCCCCCCCCCCCCCCGCCCTTTGCACCCCTCTGCGGACGCCCATGCCTGTGCGTGACGTCATCGTTAGTGGCTCCCGCCCCAAGCGGCAACCAGGCTGAAGCTCGACGCGTTCGTCTTGGCGTCGCCACGTGACATAGCGTCGTAGTCGCTGTGAGACGCTAGCACGACGCGCTGGCGACGATGCTGACGCGAGCTAGACGGCACTGCGTGGATCCACTAATGGCGACGTTTAGGAGACAGAGGCCCAGGTCTTGCATTCTATGTGATAACTGCACCACATTGAAGAAGCTAACGTACTACGTTTTATATGTTCTGCTGGTTTCAATAATATATACGTGCCTTTTAGGTGGCCTACAACTTCGGCATATGTTGTCGCAGCGTCAACAGACACCCGGCGACGATGCTTTTGAAGGCTCTGTAATCCTCCGGCGTCGGGCGTAGCAAACTCGATGAAGCGCAGCGCACATAGATACTGAGTGGGCGCCGGCACCACTCATACAGCGATTTCTCTAACCCATGGCCGTATTTTTGGAAAAGAAATGCGCGACTGAACACGGCCGACGAGGCGGACGAGACATATGACGTCACGATTCTCATTCCCTCTCCTCCTCGCTACGTCCCGTCGAGCTCGTGAACCGAAGCGAGGATGGGAGAAGCGACGCCGCTTCCCCTCATTCTCAACTGTTCCAGGAGGATCGAGCCCTTCTCTTCCAGAAATACGACCATCCGTTTGAGATATCGATGTAGGAGTGAGGTCTTGGTGTTCGTAGCGTCCCGTTCAACGCCTCTACGGCCTTATTTTGCAAAATTCAAACTTCGGTTCACTATTCCTTTAAGAATCAAGATGGCTGTTTGTGTCGCTACTCTGGAACGCAGCCTATCTATAGGGGCCCTGGTGCGGTCTTGTCTTACGGCAGTCCATTTGAGAGCGTCCGCTGTATTCCACGAAAATCTAAAGTCTCATTCACTTGGTGCGATTTTACTCGCGATTCCTCAATTGCGACGTCGCTTGTGCGGAAAAAAAAAAAAAAAAAACGAAGTTCCGGGGGAAGCTACAGTGCCCGACGTCGGAGCTGCGAATTTGAAAGCAAGAACGCACCAGGTGAACCGAGATCAAATACGTGCCTGTCGTTGGAAAAGATTCCGCACTAGATGTACTGCGTCCGTAATCGTAGTCGTGGCCAGCAGCCCGAGAACTGCACAGGAAAAGCCCGAAACTCCAAAAATTCCAAGAATCCGGCTCCAAGAGAGGATTGTTAAGACGACCTGCGTGAATCGAATACGACTTGGAATAAATGGTTGGCTTGATGCCTGTTCGTATTGACAAAACGTTTTATAATCAAAGTCTATAGTCCCCCCCCCCCCCCCCCCCCTTCCCGTTGTACTGGAAACAAACCCATTGAGGAGTTACTGAAAACTGAAGAAAAACAGGGAGTGGCTCATTTTGCTCACGCTTCGTGATTGTCAAATACATACAAGCACCAAAAACGACAGGTACAAAGAGGAGTGGAAACAGCACAAGTCGTACTCGCAGCTAGAGCTTATTTAAGAAAAACACATAATATAGGGCGTTGTAGAACGCTTATTCGTCACAACAATCGATGAAACCCCTTGATAAAATCGAGCTCTTTCCTCGAGAGGGCAAGGGAGGGTTCGCTAACGCAGTCGTTTCCTTTTGCCCTAATCTCAAACGCCTCGCGTACTTCTCAGCCCAACAAAATGTTCAGTTGGGCTAGTTGGTTCATGACCGGATAGAAGCGCGGAAGGACAGGGACAAAGTGAAGAGGGTAACGACAACACGGCGCGCACTTTTTCTCGGCACATATTTTCTTTATATTTCTCTAGAAACTTAACATCATGCAGAACTCGTGAGCATGGGCAACGACTACAATGGATGGCGATATTACCACAAGGTTTGCTTTCATGGCTCCCGCATGTTCGCGGGCACTGTCGTTGACACAGCTACCCGTCTCACCAATGTATACACGGAACCGGAAGTCAGCGGTATCTCGTACACAACTCCCATGGCACAGTCAGCATATCTGGTCCGATGTTTTATCCTGCACTGCTCTTTAATTGGCTGGGGACTATTGATTCTGCGGCACAGACGCACCATATTATCGGGGGCCTAAGATACCACCGGAACTATGAAACGATGTGCAACTTTTTTGAAATGGTGGGAGATGGCATGCAAGTAAGGAATTAATCGCAGGCCTCATTTTAGGCTTTTCTCTTGCCTGTTGGTTTGCTCCTTTGAATGTCTTTAACAATCCTTCTGCAACTTCAGCCAGGGAGCTTTGTAAAAATCCTGCCTTTTGTGCGCGTCGACGAACCCTCCCTTGCCCTTTCAGGGAAAGAGTTTGACGTTACTGAGGGATTTCATCGATTCAAGTTGTGACGAATAGACGTGCTGCAACGGCCTATCGACCTTTGCACCGCTTATCACCTGGGCGAAAAGTGCCGAGTCACTGAGCTGTGGACGCATGCGCAGCGTCTGATATACCTCACAGCAGAGCAACAGCGCATGCTCAGAATGCCTTCCACATCCCACTGCAGCAGACAAAGATGGCAGCCCGCAGAAGGCGAATTTCGCAAAGGTCTATAGACCTTTGCAAAGAGAGATGTCAGGCCGCCGCCAATTTGCAACTTGAGCGACCCCTATCAGCCAGAAATTTCTGCAACCCGCCTGAGCTGTGGGAACCCGATCAACGCTACTTTCCACTTGCACTGTGCACTCAGAGTTTGCCCGCATTTCTTAAAATATTTACTTTATTTTGCTGTTCAGGATGCTTACACTTTGTGTGTTATCTTCCACTGTGAAAACCAGGGAATAGACGGCTCGGAAAAACGAAAGAAAGACATCTGTCGTACGCGACGGCAACCAGCGCCAACCGCCATGCCGCAGCCTGCAGGTATAGTGGAGCTTCGTTGCATACGCTCCATAGATCATAGACGCTAGTCTGACTGCGTCTGTTCCGTGGCCCACGATGCCAACGTACTGCTGCGTGCCCCTCTGTAAGCAGAGTGAGTATCTGGACAAGTCTGGCATTAAGGTACGTATTCGTAAATGTACTGGTTATCGGTTGACGGGCATCGGTTGGGTGGGAATATTCAGCGGCGTAGCAGCGCAGACGTTTGCCTGCTCTAGTGCAAGAACGGAACACGAGCCGTTCCCACCCAACGCTCCTTGAGCGTTCGAGTCCGCGGTTTTTATTCTCACTTTGTAGAGCTTGGTGGTAGATTTTTGAAGTTTCAGCTCATTTGAAGAAATCCAAGCGTCAATTACAAATGTAACGTTACTCAAGGTACTTACTGCTTGTCGGCATGACAGCTTTGCGACCACATAGCTTCACGTACGCGGGATCTCGTGGTGCTTGCAACATTCTCGTGTAAATGATGTGTTAGGTGCGCACGACGCCGCAAGACATCACGCTTTAATCTGCCTGCAGTACGTACACACCTGTGGAGCGCATGCTTTATGCAAAGCAACATGCACGCGCTTGCAGCTTCTGCTTCACTACAAACCTGCCGCTCTACGACTACGGGGTGTTTCAACATAAAATTTCCGCACTAAAACTGCCCGCGAAAATCAGGGACTCGACGTATCGTGTACAAACTTACCTCGAATACGTGTTTTTACCCGTCCCATTTACACAACTTACCGAGTACAAAAAATAAAAAATAAAATACAAAAATGCTCCAAAAATATACGTCATAGATCACAATTTGAAAAAGAAAACGCTGCAATTTAGCCGCTACCAGCGTCCAGAATTGCGTCTATGTAGGCTGTCACAGCCCACTGATTAGAAAACACACAGCCCAGCCCAGTCGGGCAACAC